ATATATTTTCTTACCTAACGGAGCGGTATTTTCATCGTCCGATGGAGGAATCGAGTTAAATGTTAGGTCATCGTTGAGGTCGAGTATACCTGTGCGATTATCATTAGTGTTCCTTGTAGCACCTAATAAAAAATACATAAGTGTTACAAGTTATAATTAAACATAAAACTAATCTTGCGTAAGTAATTTGCTAAAAGTATAACTTGTAATTTATAATTTTGTACTTACTTTTGTCCAATAATGTCAATTCATCATCTTCTTCGTAAATGTCGTAAATTTTATTATTTTTTTACTGCTTCGAGAATTCTTTTTTGTGTATCTGAAATAATCAATTGCATTAATGTTTCGGTTAAATAGGTTTATTAAGGTTACTTTATAAAGACTTAAAGTGTACCTGTTGATTCTTTTGTCGTCAAATTGCTTGAAAATACTGTCGGTGCGGTTGGCAACAAATTAGGTACTATTGATATGACATCCGGATCTACTTCACCAACATTTTTTTCTGGACCTCCACCGGTGAGAAACCGTGACTGCCTCTCAACTGTTAAAACTTTTTGTTTTGTTGTTTTAAATTGGACCAGAATTTCTTTAATTGAGATACATCTCTCTGCAACATAAAACATATATTGTATAATATTTAGAGTGATGTGAGAAAGGAATGCTAAGTAAAGCATAAAAAATAATTAACATAATTAAAATTTTTTTCAATAATTTAAAATATTCGTCAATAATTTGAATTTACTGACGACAATGTTCCAAGATGTAGGACATATAACATTGTCTTAAGAGTACAGACAACCATTCTCTACAGGTCCTGATTTTCCAATGATTTAAATATTGCAAATAATTATTAAAATAAATATTTCATAACTTTTATACAAAATATATATAAAAAAACCTTAACATGTATTAATGACGAACTATTGTAGTCATCTGTAATAATCTGCTAGGCTTATGATTTCTCCTTCAATGTTGCGGAGTTGGTCGCTTTACATTCCACAACACTGCTGTATTTTATTACAATTTCCAAAAAAATTTGCGGTAAATATTCACTATAGGGGAGTCAGCTCCGATGACCTTGACCTTGACATATGTTGTCAAGGTTATCCTCCTGAGTAACCCTCAGAACGTTTTAGCCGTCGCTCGTTGTTTGTTAAAAAGTTATTAAAAAAACAATGTGGACCAATTACACTATATGTAATTTTCAGACACAAATATTAAAAATTTCGAAAAATGTTTTAAACAAAAGTTGTAGATCACTTTGAAATAAACATTTTATGTTCTATTTATTTTTACTGTGCGAGTGATAGTTTTCGAAAAAAATGATGGACTCTAAATCTTATATCTCTCCTCCCATCTCCATCTGTCATACGTCATGGAAGTACATGCATGGAGACAGTATGTTCTGCCCCCCCCTCGGGGGGAGGGGCTCCGCCTCATTAAAATATAACCCTACCCACACTATGTCAGAGGTGTGGTGCGGATCTCGCTTCACGTGGAAAGTCGCAAACCCATGTGGAACAGTACAACAAAGCATCCACTTCCACCGTTGTACTGTTCCACATGGGTTTGCAACTTTCCACGTGAAGCGAGATCCACTCCACACCTCTGACATAGGGTGGGTAGGGTTATTTTTAACGAGGTGAAGCCCCCCCGAAGGGGGGGCGGAACATACTATCTCCACGC